CTGTCACTCCTACCAGAGTGACATTACTCTGGGAAGAGCCATACAAAGCGTTTTCAGGTGCCCTTGGAGCCTATAACAGCCCAAAGAAAACAAGATTCTCTGCCCATCTCAAAGATAAAGGAACCACTTCAGAGAGACAGTAACTTGCCAGAGATCTAGAGTCAACACACTCAGATTCCAACCTCTTGACCCCAGACCCACAATCTAGGATTTGGAGTATAGTTAGAGGCCCTGCTTACCCTGCCAAGAATGCCCAGACCACAAATAACTCTTTCTGATTTCTACCCACGAAGACAGTCGGCCCCAGGCTGGCCTGTGATCCTGGTCACTGAGGGCCCACACAGAGAGAAAACCCTGCTCCCTTCTCTCTGGTCTCAGCAGTGTCTAACCTACAGCTAAGTGACTTTAAATATATCAGGATCTCAGGAAAGCAGGATGAACACCTCACATATACCAGATGGAACTGAGAGTCTCACCTCACTCCCAGTGAATAAATTACATAGCCTGTCAAAGCATCTCTGCTCCTTCTCTGGCTTCCGGAGGGGAGAAGCCGGTCACAGGAGCTCCCTTCCAAAGCCCAGGTTCTCCGGGCTAGGGTGCAGGATTGGCTGGAAGGAAACCTGGGAAGGATTCAATCCAGCCTCCCCTACCTGTGATGTGGGAAAGGACCTTGTCCTTAAGAGTAAACACTGATGGCTCTAGCTGACATTTAAATACGCCATGCACAGTACTAGAAGCCATGAAAACTTATCTCATTTGTAAAATGAAAAGAAGGAGAAGAAAGAGGAGGAGGAGGAGGAAGAGGAGGAGGAGGAGGAAGAGGAGGAGGTCTGTTTCATGGAATTATTTCAAAGAATCAATGGGATGGTACTTGTTAAGGGCTTAATCAAAGCACCTGGCAAATAGCATTCAAATCACCTTGCTAATATTTATCATATAATGTTATTAGTATTAAATAGTATATGATTGTCTTAATTATAATCATGAGTATTATGGTCTAACTGTTTAGCTAACATTTCCCCAATATATAGGACCATAGGCTCCTTTATCTGGTGAATCTTAAACATAGCCTCCAATGACAGGAAAGGCTGCTCCAATCCAAGGGCTCAGAGAAGTAAGCCGAGTTGTCCGAGGTCACATGCCTCCTGAAGGGAGCCAAGATCACCTCCTAAGCCCTGGCTATGAGCCAGAGACTCTCCATCATCTGGATACATTCCAGAAGGTTTCCACATAGAGAAGATCTCTAGTTCTCATAGGAGAGCAGCTCAAAGGTAGGGGAAATTTCCCAATCCCTGAGAAAATGGGGAAAGGCATAGGGGTCACTAGAAGAAATCTGGGAGTGTGAGCCCCCAAATAGAAAGGAATGGAGTGTATGAGCCATGACAGCATGGTGACAAAATAATAATGAAGGTAACAATGGGGACAGCACGTGGCCATCGCCAACCTCTGCAATGCTGCAGGGCCATGATGCAAGAATTTGCATACTTTATCTCTAGTGATCTGGTAAGTTTTGTATTGTCCCTATTTTATAGTCAAGAAAACTCAGGCCCCAAACGCTGACAACTGGACCAAGGTAAGAGGTGAAGCGGGGCTTTGAGCACAGACCTTTAACCCCCTAGAGCCACAGTCCCCACCATATGGCTCTTCCCAATTTCACTGGGTAGAGGTCAGGCACTTTCCCGAATTAGCCTGGAGAAAGACTTATCCAATTGAGGAAGTCATAGCATCACCCACCAAGGCCCTTGCTAGACCTTTCTGCTCCTGGACACACTCATTCAGTAAGTCACTGGACCATGTAAGCACAGTTCCTCCTCCAAGATCTGCCTAGCAGAAGGGATAAACTCATGCTGGAGAAGAAAAAGGTAGACATGAGGAAAACTCACAGACTCAACCATTGAATTAGTTAGCAGCCCATTCATTACCTGTGAGGCAATCCTCTTCCCCAGAGACCACCATGGAGTACTCAAGGTGCCTCTCACCCTATCATCCACTGATCCCAGGCCTGCACCAAACCCCTTCGTCCACAGCAGGGAGTTTGCTAGGTGCTAAGGTATGGCTGTAAATACAAACTTTTTCCCCTCATTAAGACCCTGACAGTACATAAGGGGTTATGCGTTTTGCTGAAGTGATAGGGCCATGACTCTAATACCAGCACTCAGGAGATATCTGTCTAGAAGAACAAGAAGAGGAAGAGGAAAAAGAGGAGGAAGAGGAAGAAGAGAAGAAGGAGGAAGAGGAGAAGGAGGAGGAGGAAGAAGAAGAGGAGGAGGAGGAGGAGGAGGAGGAGGAGGAAGAAGAAGAAGAAGAAGAAGAAGTAGAAGAAGAAGAAGAAGAAAAAGAGGAAAAGGATGAGGAGAAGGAGGAGGAAGAGGAGGAGAAGGAGGAGGAGAAGGAGGAGGAGAAGGAAGAGGAAGAGAAGGAGGAGGAGGAGGAGGGAGAGGAGATACATAGACATAATTGATGGATGGACAAACCAAGGTGGCTGATGGGAAATGGGATACAAGCTGGAATAGTGATCATGATGACTGCCATGGTGGAAAGATCTTCTCTACTTTCAGCCCCATCTCCATCCCCAGATCACCCCATAAACAGCTCTGAGGCCTTCCTACCCTGAACACACAAAGAAAGGTGTCTACCCACACCCCAACCCACAGCCTCCTGTGCTGATGGCCCAGTAACCTGCCACACCTGTGTGGGCCCGCATCCCTCCCTACAGGCACATTCTAGGGGCCCCTGGGGCACAGGGAGGCTTTCAACTGTGACAAAGGAGGTTTTTATAGACTGGGACAAGGATTTCCAGGCAATCTGAGGCTGGGGTGTGGCCTGGCCTCTGCCAACAGCTCAAATCCTCCTGAGAATTTTAGAGCTGGAAGGAGATTGTGGATGTTGAAAAGTAGAGGAGGAGGCCAAGAGGGGAGGTTGGGGATGAAAGGGAAGAGCAGGGTTCTGGGACCACACTTTTATAAGCCGCCTTATGAGTTGGAGCAAGCTAAGGCACAAAGACTCCTAAGGAAAAGGAAGAAAAAGCACCTCCTTCTGACTTGGCAGGAATCATGGCACAGGGCAGCCAACATTCAACATTCTCTCCTAAAAGGCCTCAGATGGGGTACTGAGTAAGACAGGGCCCTTTACTTGTCCCCTCCCCGATAGGCCCCTGCCAACTGTCCTGAGAACCAGCACCCTGCAGCCAAGGCCTTGTTTTATGGGTCCATTATTTACCTTGAATTGGCCACAGCTCTTGGCAGATGAACTGGAAACCACAGGGTCACCATACCTACCCAGGGAGAGCTGGACCAGGAAGCTGCAGCTTTCTTTGTTCCTTTATGGACTCAGGGCAGGCTCCAGACAAGTCAGGTTGGGAGCCTGTGAGGGAGGTCTCCGTCACAGTCCAGACCCATTCCAGGCTTGGGGCCCAGGTAGGAGCTGGTGAGAGTTAAGGGGCGTATGCAGGGTTGCTGCATAAGGAATGTGTTAGTACCTGCACACAGGCATACACCGACAAGGACACCCTGTCCAGCCTTGTTTTAAACACAGTGTCTAAATCCCAAAGCTCCAGTGTGGGTTAAAATGTCAGGACCAAATGCCTGGGGAGGTCCCTGTCCTGAGTCTTCAAGTGGAGCAAGGCCAGGAGAAATGTTGTCAGCTCTAGGAAACCACCTGGGTCCAGTGGCTAGAAACGGTACAGCATTGATGCAAGCTCTGAAAGTCTTCTCTAACTGTGTGAGCCTCAGCCAAGGATTTCATTTCTCTGAACTCATTTCCTGCTGTATAAAATGCAGCTCATCCTACCTTCAAGGTTGTTTTTATCAATGGCATATAGTAGGTGCCCAGTCTTCATACATAACTTACACCCCAACCGGAGGGAGTACAATGGAAAGGAAACTTTGTCTGAGACCTTTTAAAATCCCACACTTGGAGCCCCAGTGGTGAAATGCTACCCACGAAGCATGAGGATCTGAGTTCAGATCCCCAGCACCCACATGAAGAGCTGGTGTGGGGCCACAGTGTGACTTTGTGGGTAAACGCGTGTGCCACCAAGCCTGACAACCTGAGTTTGATCACCAGAACACACGTGGGAAGAAAGAGAGCATTGATTCCTAAGAGGTGTCTTCTAACCTCACACAGCTACACAGTGCCATGCCTGTGCATTTAAAGCTACACACACTAAGTAAATAACTAAGTATAAAAGAATAAGAAAAAAGGCCAGGAGTGGCATTGCACATCTGGAATGTCAATACAAGGTGGTAAACTGGATTCCTGGAACTCACCAGCCAGGCAACCCAAGTCAGTGAGCTGCAGGTTCAGTGAGAGACCTTGTCACAAAAGGTGGTAGAGGGAGTACAGAGGACACTTATGTTAACCTCTGGCCTATGCACACCTCACTTTTGCCATGTACTGCAGCGGTTATGTATGTGGGCAAGCCACTGGGCCTCCCTAAACTCCACTTTAGGTCTCTCAAGTGGAAATAAGATTGTCAAAAAGAACAAATCTGTCTGGCAGTGGTGGCACATGTCTTTAATCCCAGCACTTGGGAGGCAGAGACAGGAAGATTTCTGAGTTCAAGGCCAGCCTGGTCTACAGAATGAGTTCCAGGACAGACAGAGCTATACAGAGAAACCCTGTCTCAAAAACCAAAACCAAAACAACACAAAAAAAAAACTTAGTCGCATTCTGCCTGGCAGTGGGAGCACACTCCTTTAATCCTAGCACTTGGGAGGCAGTGGAAGGTGTATTTCTGAGTTCGAGGTCAGCCTTGTCTACAGAGTGAGTTCCAGGACAGCCATGCTTACACAGAGAAACCCTGTCTTAAAAAAACAAAAACAAATTACAATTACAATTCTATCTGTACAGGTCATTTATCTAACCTGAATTGCCATAGCTATAGCAATGTGCTCTTGCCTCTCTCCCTGTTCTGGGACAGGGTGCACTTTGGCTCAAATAAAACAAGGGGCTATGATATAACCCATCCTTCATGGGGTAAAATAAGCAACACATCCTTTTTCCCTTGAAGGATAGTTTTATTGACAAGTCAAGGAAAGGGCTGGAGTAAACTTTATCACCCCAGTCTGGCTCCTGCTTGAGAGGTGGGGGTTGTCTCACTGGTGGTAGGCCAGGGGCTGAGGATCTGATCAGATGACCATGATGGTGGGCAGACTGTTGTAGTGAGCTTCCTGGCCCTCAAGCAGGCTGCGGTAGGTGGCAATCTCCTGCTCCAACCTCGACTTGATATCCATGAGCTGCTGATACTCCTGGTTTTGGCGTTCTGTGTCAGCACGCACATTGCTCAGCTGGGCTTCGATACTGCTGATCACACCCTGGATCTGTGACAGTTGGGCTCCATAACGGGCCTCTGTCTCTGCCAGCGTGCCTTCCAGGGCAGCTTTCTGAAGGGAGAGAAAGGGGACATGACTCAGCAGGAGCAGGTTCCTGAACACGGGCACAGCCACTGAGGTTGCCAGGGCACAAGTGTGCAGGCCACAGGGTGGAGATTCATACCATGCTAAGCTGGGACTGTAGCTCAATCTCAAGGCCCTGGAGGGTACGTCGAAGCTCTGTGACTTCAGTCTGGCTTATCCGGATCTGTTCAGTGTGGACTTCAACCTGGATGTTCAGATCCTGAATCTGTAACAAGACAAATCAAGCAAAAAATAAGAAATAAGCTTCTGTCTTTGTGTGTTCAGGGTCTCTCCTCACCACCCTCACAGGATACCAGCATCCTCTGCATACCTGACTATTGTACCAAGCTTCAGCATCCTTCCGGTTCTTCTCAGCCATGATCTCATACTGACTTCTCATCTCACTCAGGATCTTGGCTAGGTCGACACCAGGAGTGGAATCCACCTCCACACTGACCTGGCCACCCACCTGGCTCCTCAGGGCACTAATTTCCTGTGAAGACACCACACACAGGGGCATGTCAAGACCTAAACATGCTGGTTTTGGACCAGGTCACTCCCTGAATCCCTTAGCCGAACAAGGCTGGTTTGGAGGTACAGGAGTAGAAGCCATCACTGGAGAGTAGGTGTCATGGTCACCATGCAGTGCTGGGACTGTTAGAGGCATGATCCAAGCCAGGGACATAGTATGATGTAAGAGATGAGGTCATGGTCAGTAAGCCCAAGATACCAGAGTCTCAGTTTTGGGACAAGATGGACAGAAGGCCCAGCTTCACCCACCTCTTCATGGTTCTTCTTCAGGTTAGTCAGCTCCTCCTTCAGGCTCTCAATCTGCATCTCCAGGTCAGTTCTAGCCAGAGTCTGCTCATCCAGCACCCGGCGCAGGCCATTGATGTCGGCCTCCACGCTCAGACGCAAGGCCTGCTCCGTCTCAAACCTTTCCAAGGAAATAGTTGCAGTCAGGCTAGTGCTGGCTCTGTGTCTCTGCCAACTTCCCCATGGTTAAGGAGTCTGTGGGGGTTTGCTTTGAGCAAGCTAAGGTGGAGAAGAAAGGCAGAGTCCAGACCCCCACAGTGCCAAGCACTATAAAGGCCTGCAGTTACTCCAATCTCATTTGCCTGGCTTCTGCAGACCCCAAAGCAGGACACTTACTTGGTTCGGAAGTCATCTGCAGCCAGACGGGCATTGTCAATCTGTAGGACAATCTTGGAGTTGTCAATGGTGGCCCCGAGGATCTGGAAGGGAGGAGGATGGCAGTTGGCACCAGCTTGGCAAACTAGCATTATCTATCCACTTTCTTACCACACAAGGAGAGAGGAATGGAGAGCCCCCACTCCCTAGATACAACCCAAGA